TTTGTTTGTTTTGCCATTATCACTTTTCTTGTTTGTGAATTACCTGCTTGACTATGTTAACTGATGTCTTTTAGGTTGTCTGTAGAGTCTGAAGCTCCAGAGTACTTGTCAGATGCTGTAGGACATGCATGATGATCTAAGGTGGCAAATGTGCAGAAATCCCCCAGGTGTTAAAAAAACCTGCTGTAGTGGTCAGTGCTAAGTAGTTTTTTTCCCAGTAATGTTCCCGCTTACCTGGTCAAAATTTCTAGATAACCATCATTAGTAATCTAGAAACCAAACATTTACTTAAATTCTGGCAAACACTGCTTTTTTTTTGGGCATCCGGAGCTTACATTTTGCTTCAGCCTTTGCTTTCTTCTATGGCGCTTCACTCCTTTGAAGTTCTAATATCAAAGCATATTGTTGATAATAATTCGTTAATTCAAATAGCTTGTCGAACCAGCATATTCAAATTTTGACTGCTGTCTTTTAATTGCTTAACTTAAGCTATTGCCAAAACCAAACCTGTTTTGTGAGTTAATGAAAAACTTGATACAGTTGATTAATGTCAGGAAGTATTTGTGTAGAAAATAATATTTTGTAATAGACATGAAACATCTTGTTTGCTCTCCTGACTGGTATGGTTCTTTCAGTGACAGTATGAAGATCTCTGGCACATAATTATTTCAGTAATTGTACTTTAGATTTGTGTGAAATGGTTCTTCTAACACTCAAAGGTTTCAAATGCTGAAAAAATGCAATTTTGAAGTTAATTTCTAAATAACTATATTTATTGACAAAACACAGCATACTCCAAAGACATTCTCTGCCTGTGTTGGCAGAGTTAGGGTTGGCATACTCTTTATGTTGAGACTTCTGTTGATAATACATTGTTAGTTACAGGCCCATCTTTTCCATCCCTAATTCCAGTAAATACAACAACATTGTTTAAACTTAGTATCTGTGCAACAAGAAAAAAAATGGTTTGTATTATAAATGGAGAGATATTCTTCCCAGAACTAAAAACTTTTAAATACAGACTGAGGCAAAAGTTATGGGTCTCTGTCTCTCTCCCAGGCTAAGTTTGCAGTTGAATGGTAGTTGAGAACTTGATTGGTACTTGTGTTATTAACCTATCTCCACCTGTTTTGTCAGAACGCATTAGACTTGTATAGTTATCACAAAGGTGTTTATAATATGTGGAAAGCAGTACTGCTGCTACAGTCAATACTGGGCAGAGAAGTGGTAAAGTGATTTGACAAAAGTCAGAATGGAAACTTGTAAAGCAGAACACTTCAATAAAGGTTGTCTGCCCTAGTCGTCAGACTTTCTACTTGCACGGAAAACTTCAGAGATACAATGGAACAACAAACCTTCTTGCCTCTTAATAAACTTATCTTAAAACTGTATTGTACCTCCGTGCATGCCTGTGAGGCGAAAGGGACCTTTCTCCCATTTTGAAAGCTTAGGTTGTGGAATCAGAAATTATTCCTTCCAATCAATAAATATCAGTATTGCTAGAAATAAAGATTATGGTGTTTCCTGACTCTCTCACTGTCTAGTTAATAAACCATTGCTGAACATGAAACCTGTAGTGTTAGTACTGCGTAGATTTTGTTTTCCTGAACAGATGCTAACTCGATGTTCTGCTGATCTTAGGCACCTGTTCTCGTTGGTATCTACTCTTAATTTTCTATGCATTTCTTGTTTCATTTCAGGTTCTTTTACTTACATGTGCTTTTTGTGCTAACTGCCATTAATATGGAAATGCAGCTCTTAGAATAAATGTTTGTTCTGAGTTTTGTGCATTGGTCTGTAGGTTACTTGCCTGAGACATTAGCTGTACTAAAGGTTTGTTCTTTTGTTCTAGTGCCCTTTAGAGTTTGTTACTGCTGCTGAAAGCAGCCTGCTTTCTGTCCCGCTCACTTCAGTGTCCCTGTGCTTGTCATATGGCGTGCAGGCTTGCAGAAGTACCGTCTGCTGGATTAACTTTTGCTTTCAGCAGATTCGCTTTTCTGATATGCTTCAAGGCATGATCACGCAAATGCTTATGCTGGTACAAGAAAGGAGACTGGTGTGAAAAGCTGAGGACGGGAGGCAGGGCAGGACTGCTGCTGTTGTGTAGTGTTGGTTGTCAGAGACTGTCCTAACTTGGTATGTGGATACCTGTGCTAGGGCAGAAACTGCTATTTTTCCTTTAAACAAAAGGTTAGCAGTATTTCAAAGCAGTGTAAGCAAAACAGGAGGGTGCAACTGTTAATACTGAGTAGAAAACTATGTTAGCTGCTGGTTTCCAAATTTTTTTCTTGGGTTACTGTGTATCAGCAGTTCTCTGCTGTGTCAGATTGTGTGATCGTGCTGTGGCTGTAACACTGCAGATGAGGTGTGTGACAAAACTTTTCTGTCCTTTAGTTTTGGACGCTCTAAATAGGAACTACAGGAAAAAATGTTTATTAAACAGTAAACTCTGCATGGGTCAAGTTAAGGTTTTCTTAGGACATGTTATCTTTAATTTTGTTTCAGATACATCTATGCAGCTTAATTGCTTGTACGCATAGCTGGTAAAATAACCCTTGAAGTTTTACGTGTTTATGCATTCAAGCAGCTAGTTTGCAGTGCTGTAGGAAAACAAATTACAAATCGTTAATATCTTGCTCGTTTAATGCCATAATTGTTGCATTCTGTTGCGTAAGGGATAGTCCAATGACAACTTTGTTATGGCCAAAACTGATCGTGAAAAAATTTAAACTTGTTTCTCACGTATTTTTTTGGGCTGTCTTTATATGTTACCAAAGTGTAATCATGCATAATACTTAAATTTTTAAGAAATATCGTATGAGATCACGCCAGTGGTGCATTTAGCCCAATATTCTGCCTCTCATGATGGCAAATGTACATGCTATTTACAGCAATTGTTAGCCTGGCTATTTTCTGCAGTCTGTGTCCCTCATTTTCCCCCAGCATTCACAGTCGTTATCTTAGGAATATCAGAGGGAAGATCTCTGCCCATTTTCTTTTGAATCTCGTATTCTACCTTATTGTCTCCTGGCAGACTTCACTATCTTCGACATAAAGAAGCGGTGTGGTTTTTTTTTTTTTTTCACCTTTCAAAAACTGACTTCCCTTGGTATGTGGCTTTTGTTTTCAGCTGGTGTAGAGCATGAAACTGAATGTATGATGTGCTCCTGTGTTCTTGCTCTGTCCCTCAGCAGGTATGGCTAAAGACCATAATCATGTTCCTGATTTGTTCTCCTTTGATAGATTTTAAGTGCCAAGCTCTTTTAGTCCCTTCTTGTAAGGGAAGCTCTTCATTTCAGTGATCATCCTAGTAACTAGTCTTTCCCATTAAAAATTACTTTTATGATCATGCCCAGAGCTAAACATTATGTTCCAGCTGAGATTTTACCAGAGCTTTAGTTGGCATCTGCTTCTGACTTGTTCAGTTCTGGTCTTTATTGCCAGGAGGAGTAATTGCTACAAAGGAGGTGCCTGTGGGTGAACGTCACAGTTTTCCTGAAAACTTCTCTGTAGAATCAACTTTTGCCTTCTAGACTTAGTGTAGAAGATGTAAAATAGGGTGGAGAAATAGGATGCTGTCTTCTCAACTTCTTAGTGGACTGTAAGTTAAATCTCTTAGTCTTGATTAATAAGTATATCAGTTCTGAATCTTTGTCAGATACAAAACTTCTGCAGAAAGCTCAAAATAGTAAATTAAATAATGCTGTGACAATTTTAAATCTTAAATATTTGTGTTGCTTCAGATCTGTGTAAAAGAGCCCAGATGGATCCTCTGTAAGCAAGGGAGCAAGTGTGGTGGTTTTTTTTGTTTTTTAATCTCTTCACAGAGAAGAAAGTATTTTCCTCTCTCTCTTATGCTAACACTAAGAAGTCATGCTCCTCCAAATATTGTGTTTGTCTGTAGATTCAAGATAAATTGTGTTCAATTGGATGGAACTTTATTTTTAAGCTCATGTGTTGGAGTATGTGGCTTCATTTATCCATGAAGCTACTATTTATAGTCTTATTCATACATGAGGCTTAGTGTTTCCTAAAGCAAGCTTTGTACTTAAAGTAATTGCGTAGAAGTTGGTCTCAGGAATAAAAAAGTCCAAAGTCTTGTTTTGCGTGGCTTCTATAAAGGGTGTTAACTTACTTGATTGCCAGTACTTAGTAGCTATAAAAAGTAGTTATCTTCAGGAACTGAATTTAATATTAGATAATAGACTGTAGTAAGTCAGCATATACTTGTGTGTTTATAACCTTTGTGCTTCTTGTGCCAAAGAACTTCATATCAGTTGTGAATTCCAAGATCTGTTGTTAAGTAGACAGTCAAGAAATAAAATCTACAAGTAGATAGAGCTTGAGCATTCCCTTTGCTTATAGCCACCCCAGCTTGTGATATTAGCATGTTTAATTTTATCTGGCCAGGCAGCATGCAGGTCAAAATAGGAATCAACGAAATTTTTTTTTCTGCTGCAATCTTTTTTCAGTATGCATAGTGGCTAGCTTTGCTTGAGTACTGTAATTTTTCTTTCGCTGTTCCATGGCTGCCTTTTCACATCCAAGAGAACAGCGAGTTTGTTCTTTGCTCAGAAAGACCAGAGTGGCTCAGCTAATGGTGACATGAAAGAAATGGGATGTGCCACACAAATGTGAATGGAGAAGCTCTTACACCTTGCAGTCTAGTCTGCAGTGTATTCAGTGTAATTGAATACCAACTCAGGGCTTCGTTTTTTCTGCCTTTATCACCTTAAATGACTTGATGAACTTTTTTCTTTGCTTTTTGTCTTTTACTGATGCCTCAGAATATCTCAGTTGATTTTGATTATATTCTCATATTTTACTTTTTAAACCCAAATGCACAGTCTCCCCTACCTAGAAGAAATTTTGGAAAGGAATCTTAAAACAGTTAAAGGCCACTAAAGGGCTTACTCTGCCTGCTCTGGGAAAAATAGTGAATTTGCACAGGTCTCTGACTTCTGCAGAGCACTCAAGCTTATGCATCAGTGCTCTGCTGAATGGAAGCCATAGTGGACCTGCAAGTTGACTTGGGTAAGTGCCATAGTTATATATCATTACTGAGAAGGTAGTAGTTACAGGTATAGGATATTTGTACTTGATTGGGGAAAATCTTAGATTATGGTGTCAGATATTCTGTTTCATCTTGTTAATAGTCTGTGAGATACTAACCATTTCTTACTGGGTGCTTAATCATTTATGATTCAAACACATCTTAAAGATATATCAGAACACTCAAAGTATCAACACTTTCGGATACTAACTCACCAAGGCTTGTTCATGGAACAGCCTAAAACTGCAATTTGTGGATGGTTTGAGACTGTTGGAATAACCTATGTGAGCTGCAATACAGTTTTTGATTTGCATATTTGTGTTTTGAATTGGGGCGGGGGATTGGGTGGAAAAGGGGGCATAAAATGAAAACAGTCTTTATTATTCTACCTGGGGCAATTCATTTTAGTAGTCACAGATGACAAATTTTGGGTTTTCTTTCATTCTAGGTTCAAAGGATCTTGTGGTAAAAGCACAGGTTTTAGCTGGTGGTAGAGGAAAAGGAACATTTGAAGGTGGCCTCAAAGGAGGAGTGAAAATAGTTTTTTCGTAAGTTGTTTCTAAATTATCCAACCAAGTGGAAAAACTTCAAAGTTTCACATATGAACTGAACCTATTGCTTAGTTTAAAATCAGTATTTTAATTATTAACCTTAAAATAACAAAAATCAGATAAGATTTTTTTTAATGCTACTTCTGTTTTTTCAGCAGTTTCTTTGTCACATTTTGAGCTTCTTTTATTCTAGTCCAGAAGAAGCAAAAGATATCTCCTCCAAAATGATTGGAAAGAAGTTGTTTACCAAGCAGACAGGAGAAAAGGGCAGGATATGCAATCAAGTATTTATCTGTGAGCGCAGATATCCCAGGAGAGAATACTATTTTGCAATAACAATGGAAAGGTCGTTTCAAGTGAGTAATATTAGAAATAGAAGTAAACTAATTAACTTGTTATAGCCATAAAAAAACCCCAAGCAAACCAAAACCCCAACAAAACTGTTTACTGTACTAGTCACTTGCTTTAGAAAATCAGGAATATACATGAGTCAAATTTTCATTCCTAGTAGCTCTGCCTGTATGTTTGCCTTAGTGTGTAAAATGCTTTAAAAATGTGATGCCACAATTTAAATTTAAGGAATGAGTATTGGTAGCCCCAAATGAAGTTCAGAGTCATATGGCTGAAGGGGAGATGAGTGGAATTAGGGGGTTATTTTCATTTTGGTTTTAGTTTGCACTTATCTGTCAGATACTCATAGTAGAGTTTAGTTTAAAAATACAGCTATGTGTGTGCATGTACATGTACACACTATTTAAGAATATCAGGAACAAATAAGTAAAAGTATTTTGGAAGAGCCAATGGTTCTGGATAAATCAAACATCTATTTTCTCCAATATGTGAAGGAGTGCAGGTGTGTCCCTCAATTTTGAAAGCGCTGGTAGCTTTCTTATGCCAATACTCTTCAGGAAGAGTAAGAAGATTTGGACGTAGAGGTCTGTCTTCAGAGCTTTTAGGAAGACGAAAGCCATAGTCTCTCCTGCTTGTATGTTCTGTATGTGTGTGTGTATGTGTATGTAGTTTTTTAGACTACATTTCAAACCCAGTTACTGAAATGTGTCAGTGTATTTTCTGACAGGCTAAGTGTTCCATTATGGAGCATAGAGCATGAATTGCTACATAACTTCAGCAAAGCCAGGGTAAAGGAGATCTTAGAACTTTATTTTCTGAAGCTCAACAAAAACTGAGTTTAGTCTATCTAGGTGCTTAGGAGTTTGCAGAGGCACTGTTCTTGGTAATTAGAGGAGTATCTCTGGGATGAGTATGAAATAATTTTCTGTGGAGGAACGAGGAAACTAGTCTTAATTTTTTATTGCAAAATTAGGAGTTAAATATTGTATTTGTTCCTTCCTCTTCCTCTGTAGTGTTCTTCCTGATAGGAAAGTATCAGTTGTGTTGGATTTTAGTACAGTTACGTGACTTGGGCACCTACATTCTGTTGTACTCTATAATAAAGCTGGGAAGATCCAAATGTTACAGTACATGCCCCAGATTTACCACAAGGTGGCATTAAAATATCGTAAATGGCTGGATTTTATAATCTTAAAATTGTCTACTATTCGAGTAAGCATCGTTATGGAAATAAAATTTACTGTAACTGATTTAAGCAAATTAGATAAAGAAAGGAAACATTTTTCTAACTTGTTCTTGCTCTTGTATAAAAATAAATTAAGCTTATTAGTGTATATTGAGCATAACTGTGTGGATATTGCCTTGATAGGGATATGCTTTGTTTTTACTGCTGACTTTATAAGTCATGTTTTTAGATGTGCTTGTAATTGCTGTAACTTTTCTAGGATGCTTATGATGAGGAAATGCTTTTCAAAAGAAGGAAGTGTGAAGGTTGAATAGCACACAGTGTGTATTCCTGATGTTACTACAAACCTCTTCCTTTAAGGGGGGAAAAAGTCTGTAAAATAGTCAGTTGAAAGTGGAACTTGATGTCTTGGGTGTTATTTCCCAATAGGGGCAAGACTTCTTATGCTTTAAGCAAAACTGTTCACTTTGATCAATTCCGTGGAACAATGAGTTATTTTTGTAATGTGTTTGTAGCTTCCTGCCTCTGTCCAGGATATGAATATCCAGAAATGTTCATTGTGTTGAACCTTGCTATTAGATGTAGGATAATTCACTGTCTATATGTTTCCATTTGGAAGGATGGTGATGAGAGGGGAGTAGTGTGGTTATTGTTCTCTGAACCAGTGTCACACTGTCTGTAGTTAATTGTCAACAGTTATAAGGCTGTTTAACGTTTTAAGACCTGTGCTGATATGGAAATGCTGCCTTAGTACACCAGCTGTCATAATCCATGCATGGGTGGTGCTAAGGGAAGGTAGGTTGAGATGATGCAAGTGAGGTTGTCTTTACTGTAAACTGGAGAACTGTTCCCATGGGGAGAAATTTTTAGGTTCCGTGGTAGCATGTCCTTGATGTTTTTGTTGGGATTTAGATAACATTTGCAGCAGAGATTTTTTTAAAAAAGCTATCAATTCTGGTTTCTTATTTTCTTTTATTATTGAACACTTGAGAGCTGTTTTGTCAGAACTCTGTGACTTACTTTCAGTGATGGCTATAGTTACTGAGCTTTGTGATCCTACTGAACAGGAATAGGTTGCCATGATTTGTCACTGGGTTCTGCAAACCTAGATTTGTCCTTGGAGTTGGAGCATGGTGCAATGAATAAAGGAGTTCCTGGCATTCGATGTGTGTTTGTGTAGGGGTGAGTGGAGAAGGGGGTGATGAGAAAGCTGTGCTTTTTCTGGTGACAACCTGCAATGTAAAATGCATATGATTACTAAGTTGAGTCGTTCCATCAAAATTTAAAGCTAGTATGTCTGTGTTAATTACTCTGTTGCTACAGTGTATACAAAAAGTTTTCCTTGTTAAAAGAAATTGGCCCCAATATACACCTTAAAATTTGGAAAGTATTATTAAAAGGTTTTATATAGATGTATTCAATAGATAGTAACGTTTTCCTCAGTAAAAGCATACAAGTAAAATGCCCAAATGAAAAAATTTGCAACTAACAACAAGGTTTTGTTGCTGTGAGGTATCTTATGGGAAGAACTAAGTTTCAATTGTGTGGTATAAAATCACTTACGCTTTTTTTTTTCCCCTTTTTGTTCTAGGGTCCTGTGCTGATAGGCAGTTCTCAGGGTGGTGTTAATATTGAAGATGTTGCTGCAGAGAATCCTGATGCGATAATTAAGGAACCCATTGATATAGTGGAAGGCATAAAAAAGGAGCAAGCTGTTAGGGTAATTGTTAATGTGGAAAAGTACACATTAGCGAGGATGGGAGGGTTGCTTCTAAATTTTGTAAAGTGTGCATGCATTCAACCTGCTGAGTTGTCTTAAACCCTTTTGACATTTTGGAACAGATTTGAACTAGGTATTTAAGTATTTTTAGGTGATCATCAATGTAAATCCAACTCTGCATGGTAGTGCTTTATCTAGCTTTTATATAGCTTTGTAAAGGCATACGATGATGACTTTACTAGTTCTTTTTTGGATAAGTGCAGTGTTTTGTATTGAAAACAATCTTTTCAAACCCAAAAGTTACTTTTTTTCCAGGAAGACAGGAGAGGTTCTACATCTACAAATTCAATTGACAGTGAAATAATAGCTAAACTGGGACATTCCTACTTTGTAACTAAATCAAACCTCAAACATCAGTTAACTAATAACCAATCTTTTACTTTCAGCTTGCCCAAAAAATGGGATTTCCTCCTAATCTGGTGGATGAAGCAGCTGAAAACATGATCAAATTATATAATCTCTTTCTGAAATATGATGCTACCATGATAGAAATAAATCCTATGGTGGAAGATGCGTCAGGAGTTGGTAATGTTTTTTCTTCATATTCTTCATGTAACAGTTTGACATTTTCGTAAATCGAAGTTAGTTGCTTTGCACTGCTAAAACTTCAGCTGGATACAGCAAGAGGACTTAGCGTTAACATGGTATGTTGAAAAATTAATTTAATAAAGCATATAAATTTGAGAATCTAAGCATTATAGGTACGTGCTCTTAATTGCTAAGTAGGATCTTAAGTTTAAATAGCGTCCTTTTAATTTTTATTTATTTAAAAATAACACATATTCTACTCTTGAGTGTTTGGCTACCCAGTGTAAGGCATTTCTGGAAACTGGGTCTTTTCAAAATTCATGAATTGAAACTTGAGACATCTTGTGTATTCAGAGTTGGTACTGAAAGGGTAACCAGGATAGTAGCACCTTCTAGAAATCTCCTGCCTTTACTACTCGGGCATCAGAATGACTGATTGAGTTTGATGTATTGAAAGACTATAGTTGTTTAAGTGATATATTGACGTTTATCAGGTTTTTAGTATATCCAGTAGCAGAATAGTTAGTTAATATGCAATCACAGCCAATTCCGCTGTCACCAAAAAATAAATCTGTGGAGCATATTTGTACCTGAACTTAGTTACAACAGTTTTAAATTTAAACATGAATGTAACTCCTTCATCAAAGCTTATAATCACTCTACTGTTATTGTTTGTTTTTTTTTTTTTAAAGAACACTGCTTAAATGAACAATACGGAGCAGTCTCTCCCATTTGTTTCTCGTGTCTTGTCATTTTTATATCATCTATAGTGAGGGGTAGAAATGAAGTCTTACGTTTGTACAGACAGAAACTTAGTTCTGATGTAAAGAATACTCTAGGTTTTCCATGTCACTTGCTACATCTAAATGAAACTTACGTTTCTGTGTATTCTTCTGAGACCTTTTCTTCCAACTCAGGTGTTTTTTCATTGTGTTTTTGTGTGCTTACATGCACATACATACACTATATTTAATCTAAAAGAAAAAAAAAACTAAGAGGGATTAAAAAAAACCCCAAACCAGACACCTTCTGTAGGGATTAATTTTATGCTAATTATGTAATTTGCCCAGATTTATCAAACAGCTTGTAAGCTGATTTGTTCTTAGAGTGTCTCAAGAAATACTTCCCTTTTTGTGCAGTTAAAGGGACTTAACTGATTGTGTGGGTAAACTGGAGAGAATCTTGTATTTGCATACAGCATTAAGTGCGTCTTTTCAGCAAAACTTTGTTTGGACTGCATGAGCTAGCTGCCTAGTTTGACTTAACATACTTTATCATATTCATGTAGCAGTTGAGCTATTATTCTATTATTCTAGTATTAAATGTGGGGTTTTTTTTCCTTTCAGTGATGTGTATGGATGCAAAGATAAACTTTGACAGTAATTCAGCCTATCGTCAGAAGAAGATCTTTGATATGCAGGATTGGACACAGGAAGATCAAAGAGATAGGGATGCTGCAAAAGCAGATCTCAACTATATAGGGTTGGATGGAAACATAGGCTGCTTAGGTATGTTCTATTTAATGACTTTTAAATGACCTAATGGATTTATAAACTGATTTCCTAAATCTTATCTTTATTTTCATATAGTCAATGGTGCTGGTTTAGCTATGGCCACAATGGATATAATTAAACTTCACGGTGGAACTCCAGCAAACTTCCTCGATGTTGGTGGTGGTGCTACAGTGCAACAAGTGACAGAAGCCTTTAAGCTTATTACTTCTGATAAAAAGGTGAGGGATGAGTTGGCATATCAAGGTCCTACACAGTAGTAAAACAGGCAATGATTTGAAAGACAATGCTTAGTGCACATTCTCCAGAAAATGTGGTGCTATATGCATAGAATTAAAAAGGCAAGAAAATGGAGATGTTAGCTTAATCTTGGTGCAAATGAAGGAGGCCTGAAAACCTGTTGAATTTTTTTCCTTTTTTAAAAGTAGGTTCTTTGGTTATATACTGAGTTAGGCAGTTTTATGTCCTCTGGTTGAAGTTACAGCTGTACTTGAATCTTTCCAGAAATCTTGGAGTTGGAAACTCCTCTGTCTGCTGTTTAAACAGACACCAGTATTCAGATGGGTTTCTTTTCCTTTCTTTTTTTTTTTTTTCTTTCTCCTTTTGGGCCTGTTTTGCAGCTGGGTCTGTTTTGTGCATAGAGTTGTAGAGATGAATATTGACTGTGTTATGCACAGATAGGTTTCTAAGGTACTGATTATATATAATAGAAGATAAAACAACTTTTTCATGGGCTTGGAAGAGCATTAATGTTTTATCCTATCGAAAGTTTATTAGAAATGTTTGAATATTATTAACATAATAAATTGGCTGAAACTAGAGAGAGCGCTTTACCATCCCAGAAGGACAATGTGAGGACTGGATTAATGGTCTACATAGAGGTGATTATCCCAATGGGAACTTGGTGGCAGTTTGGGACTTTTTAAAAAGAAAGAAAAATATGAAAAAGAGGTAACCTTAAAAGGTGGGAGTGACTTGCAGGACCTGGTAATGGTGTGCTACTTTTGCACCAGAATTTTATGCATTACTTGCTCATCTTTGGAAACAGCCAGAAACAAATAGTGAGTGATGTTACAGAGGAGCTTAGTCTCTTCGCCATTGTAAAGATTTTTTGTTAGCAAATACAGGGTCTGACATGCTCTCCAAGAATGTTATAGAATCATTTAGGTTGGAAAAGACCTTTGAGATTGAGTCCGTCTGTAAACCTGGCACTGCCAACTCCACCACTAAACCATATCCCAAGCACCACATCTACGCATGTTTTAAATACCTCCAGGGACGGTGACTCAACTGCTTCCCTGGGCAGCCTGTTCCAATGATTGACAACCCTTTCAGTGAAGAAATTTTTCCTAATATCCAATCTAAACCTCCCCTGGCACAACTTGAGGCCTTTTCCTCTTGGCCTGTTGCTTGTTACTTGGGAGAAGAGACCAACCCCCCACCTGGCTACAACCTCCTTTCAGGTAGTTGTAGGGAGCGATAAAGTCTCCCCTCAGCTTCCTTTTCTCCAGGCTAAACAACCCCAGTTCCCTCAGCTGCTCCTCATAACACTTGTTCTTTCTTCACATTGTTTGAGCAAACTGGGGGAAAAGTGAGGGACACAAGCACAGAGCACCTGAATTACAGAGAGAAGAGGAGAAGAAACAAGGAGCAATTTGGGGATTGTTGATTTGGGACAAGTTCTTGCAATACCAGTTCTCTGCATGGACAGAGGGTGTCCAAACAAACTTCTTAATGTATCTTTCCCTTTCTGCCTATTTTATCAGAAAACAATAACTGTAGCTGGGATTCCTGGTGCTGAAAGTCAAACGGCAGTACAGCCTACTGGTGTTGTGGAGTCCACTCTGGCTGGCACTCTGGGGTCAGTTCAGGGGTTGTTTGGAACAGCCTTTGGGGGTGCCAGTCTGATTCTAGTTGCTCCTACCCATTAGGAGCAGGAACAATGCCACTCAGAGATGAGCTAGTCTAATTGCAACATAATGAGAACCAATCTACTGATTATTAACCAGTTGTACATTAATGTTTTGTCAAGTTTATTCTGTCCTCCAAGGCTGTGTAAACACTAAATGATGTCCCGTGTATGAGTTTTGTAAATTTTCTGTGTTCTTTAGCATGGCTTCAGTATGTGGAGGTACTAGTGTGGGAGGTACCTCTGTTGGAGCAATGTTAGAAATGGAAAGATAAACAGTTTGACAAATGAAGTTGTTAAATGATTTTGATTTGCCTGAAGAAAATCAGTAAACACAATGAAACTTCAAACAGCTCTATTAATCATGCGCAGAATATTCTGAAGCAAAGTACAGTGTTGGCTTTGTACAGAAAATGGGTGTGTGGCTTTTCAAGTACACACTGTAGGAGAAATGGCTATTGCATGCAACTCGTGCTGGATTGAAGGACAACGTGAATGTTTCCTGGGACAAGGTTTTCCTGAAGTTACCATTCTGGTGTATGTGACTATAGAACTGTACTTTTATTGCTGATGTTCCTTATCTTTCAGAGAGTCCCTTCTTACACTTACAGAGCTTGAATTTTCCTTAGGCTGAAAGGCTGAGTGGTGCTTTTATCTGATGTGTCTCTGGCCATTTTTAACGTGAATGTTGTCATTGATTCTGTAGGTACTTGCCATTCTGGTAAATATTTTTGGTGGCATTATGCGATGTGATGTGATAGCACAAGGCATTGTTATGGCAGTAAAGGATTTGGACCTAAAAATACCTATTGTGGTACGGTTGCAAGGTGAGTGTGCTTCAGTACGTGTTAAATATATTTCTGCCTATATGGGCAAATGTTCTTGAGCTTATATATTGCGTAGCAAGTTGCCTGGAAGCTGAAGACTATGGGGGGGAAAAAAAGGCAAACCTCGAATTTAGATGGTGAGGATTGGCAAGTTAATAAAAAGAGATTTCCTGCTTTATTAACTACTAAAGTTGTTTTCTAGATTTATTCACTAACCTACTTTAGGAACAAGCTTCCTAGAAAATCTGAGAATACTGTGGAAGTAGTAGTCCCCTGTTCAGTAAGAGTGGCATTTTATCTATTTCTTAAGGTACACGAGTTGATGATGCCAAAGCTTTAATAACAGCTAGTGGCCTCAAAATCCTTGCGTGTGATGACTTGGATGAAGCTGCCAAAATGGTAAGATAGCTGTTTATTCTCTTCAGAATGTAGCATCTGTTGCAGAATATTGAAAAGTTGAACTCCGTTCAATCAACTAAAGGTAGCTTAGTTTAAATCACAGTGCCAGTTATCAAGGCCTGAAGCAAATGTTTTACAAATTAGTAAGTATGTATTTTGTAAGGAGAACAACTATGCAGTCAGAAGCTGTTATACCCCAGAAATTTCTGTGTTTGGGACTTTTATTCCCCCTTCCCCAAGCAGGTTAAAGAATAGGTTTAAAAAAAAAAAAGAACCAGGTAAATGACAACATCAGTCATAGAATCATAGAATGGTTTGGGTTGGAAGGGACCTTAAAGATCATCTAGTTCCAACCCCCCTGCTGCGGGCAGGGACACCCTCCACTAGACCATGTTGCCCAAAGCCTCATCAGTCCCTCTCCTTAGTAGGGGAATGGCTAAGAGCTTAGCTTTATTAATTGGAAGACAATACTTAAATTGAGATAGCTGAAAAATGCAATGTAACGCTTCCTTTGATAGAGCACCATATTTCAGTATGCATGATCAAAACCAAACACAGTTGCTTTTCTTGTTGCCTCATAAGGCAATTGGATATTCAGACAGCTTGTTTGTGATATTTTTGTGTGTGTGTTTTGTTTTGCTTTGTTTCCTGGGGTTGAAGCTCTAGAAGTAGCTGTGGATTGCTTGAGGAAGAACTTGCTTAGCCTGACAGTATGGCCTTCTGTTTTAAGGAATAGTACCAAGTCCTGCTAGGCTGATCAAGCTTTGGTTAGGTCAATGGAAACCTTCCCTAGCAATATGTATGGGTCTTTAAGCTATACTGCATCTACGTAATGCATCTTCTAAAGCTGCTGCTGAATCTAAAGTTCTCAGCTGAATCACGGAGCCATGCAAATGGAGTTAAGATTAGTTTTGTATTTTTAAATTATCTTAAGAATACAAATATGCTTCTATCTGTAGAAGCACTTTTTGAAAGGGTTATAGTTGGTTTTGTATATTGCCCATAGGTAATTCCTTAAACAGGTTTGTGTAAGATGATGCTGTGAGTGGGATAAATAAATGGATGAGGATAGATGAGAGTAATAAGCTGAGCATTTGAAGCAGTGATTATAACCAGTGATGTTAAAAGTATTTTTTATACCTAAATATTCAAGAGATGTCTGTAAATTATTTAGCTAACTATTATTTTATGTGCTTTTGAAGTTAGGTAATGTGGGCAGGAAAAACATGTTACAAGTGTGTAGCAATAGTGAAGATGAAAATTTCTGATCTGCAAAAAATTAGAAGGCATTGGGTGGATTTTGTATCATGTAGAAACTTATACTTCTGAATCTTTTTTTTTTCCCCTAAAAAAACCACTTATAATATTTGATTCTAAGCAGGAAGTAATTCATACAGGTCTTGAGTTATTATGCAAGAGAATTTGAAGCTCCATAAGGTACCAAATAAGATGCAGAAATACCTGCAACAAAAACTCAGAGGAGAAATAGCTTCTAGATATATAGAATCTCTTGTGAATGGGTAGCCCAACACCTCCCAAGAAAACAAGGTGGCACACAAAGTTGAAAACTTGTAGCACTTGATCAAGATTCTTGGTTGTAAATGAGAACCAGACATTGTGTAGTTCTGTGAGATATTTTCTGAAAGACTTGATTCATCTTTCATTTGAAGGTGATCAAGAAGCACTGGACTAAGTAATAACACCCCCCCTCTTTAAGATCTTGCTGATGATTCTCTGGTATTACTTTGATTAAAAAGATTGGTCTGGTTCACTCAAGTTAGAATTGTTTTGAAATTAAGTCTCTATTTTCTGTTTTTCAGGTGGTGAAACTCTCTGAAATAGTAAGCTTAGCAAAACAAGCTCAGGTGGATGTCAAATTTCAGTTGCCAATTTGAACTGAGAAATCTCATGCCTGTGTCTAACACGTTCTCTGAAATACTGTGTTCTGTGAGATACTTTTCATTTTTTTTGTGTGGAGGTTTTGATTCTGACAGGCGCACAAACTGAAGTACCTGGTCTTTAATGTTAACATTCAGAATGGTCAGAGTTCTTGTAAAAGCATGTATTGCTGATATTTAGTCCTTCTTAGTTGTTGTTCTCAAGCCTCCAGCTTCTGCTGCAGAATGTCACTTGCAATATACTTCTGCGTTGTCCAAAGTAAAGCTTCTGGTTGGAAAATAATTATTCTGAATAAATTCTAAAGTTACTTTACTTGTAAATTTGTATTAGCCTTGGTTAAAAGTAAATATGACTAGATTATCTAGTTGTCCATGTGGAGAAATGTATTGAAACGGTATTTTATATTGGAGACAGTTGTACTTAGCAGTATAATGGACATGAGCAAACCAATCATTATTTATGAACAGATGCATTTCAACTTGATCAGAAACATTTTTAGAAGTGCTTCACTGAAGTGGCTGGTAACTCTTCTGGACGACGTGTTTAATCACTACAAAATATACTGTAGCACTTAGATTTTCACGATTTCCAGTCCTTACAGGAAAAAAAAGCATTGTGTAGTTTTATATATGAACAAGCATTTACCAAACTTCAAGGAGATGGAATACATAAAGAATTACATCGCTAATAAAATTGGACATTAATAAAATGTCTCCCAAAACTTCTACTGTCTTTTTCTTTATATGTTGCTATTTTGATGAATTGCATTAACTCATAGATTAAACCATAATTTAAGCTAGCAAGCTAAAACCTTTTTAGGAATAAATTTACAATAGCACATTGTCGTGGTTTAACCTCAGTTGGTAACTGGGCACCACCTGGCAGCATCGGCCACTCCTGCCTCCCCCAATGGGATGGGAAGGAGGATGGAAAAAAAAACTTGTGGGATGAGATAAAGACAGTTTAATAGGATAACAAAGGAAGAGAATAATAATAACAATAATAATAAAACAAGTGTTGCACAAATGCAATTGCTCGCCACATGCAGAAGGAAGAAAAAAAGCTAACCAAACAACCTGATGCCCAGTCTGTTTCCGAGCAGCGCTCCTGGCTTGTTTCCCCAGTTCTATCCGGAGCGTGACGCTCTATGGTGGGGAATGTCCCTTTGGCCAGGCTGGGTCAGGTGGTCCTGGCGTGCTCTCCC